TTCATGGGACTCGGTACTGAAATTTGCACCTTGGTGACGTTTAAAGGGCTGCGCATGGTGCGTGTTTGACCTGAAGTGGTCATTTCTTATAGGACTTTTTAGTTCTGATTCGGTATAGATCCAAACTGACGGAACTTCTCTACTCATGACGCCAAAGGTCTTGGGGGTACCTAAGCATTGTCTCCATGCCGTGCGCAGAACTTACAAAAAGTCAGGGATGGTGAGTTTGTGGAGAGGTAATGTTCAATACAAAAAGGTCTCTGCTCTTTATTAAACGTAGCCATGATCTCAGCAGGCCAACAAAATTTGGGAAAAATAATATCTGTAGACTTCTGTTGACTTATTAGACTGCTGTAACTTGCAATATGGCGCGATTGTTGCAACTTTTAGTGGTAGGCCTAATGCGAACTAGTGCGTCAAGCTATGAAAATGGCGCCAAGGTTGAAAATGGGTTGTTTTTTAATGCGCTGTATAGAGCAAAACCATTCTATGGATTTATCTAAAATACATATCAGACAAATTCCTTTTGGCTACCAAACGTTATGTTCAAACCTGAAACGCAAAACTTCAGTATGGACGAAGATATTTACAAAACAAGTTGTAAAGTTTTTTCTAGATCACCCTAGATAATAAGATAGTCCCCAGTAAACTATGAAATGGCTAAGGGCATAGTAAAAACATCTGAGAGCTTCAATTTACAGGAAAAACAATCAAACCTGAAAAATCAAAAGGTAGTTTCCAAACTTTGAAAATATGCCCACATAACCCTTAGGTACAATTTTTGTTTGAGTCAAATTGTTGTAGATTTTATGGGCACCTGTGTAAAAAGTTTTTACTGACCCCACAGACGGGCTTAGCTCCATTACAATAAGATTACGAGAGAGTAATAAACACAAAAAGAAGGAGAAAGAGGACGACAGATGTTTGAATATGAAAGAAGGAGCAAACCACAATATAGCACCCGTCAATCACCCAATTGTTTGTTTGCTTGTTTGTTTGTTTTGTTCTCTTGTCAAGTGGGATATAGAAAAGAAATGAATATCCGCAACTCGTAAAAACAGGACACACCAACTTGAGCCTGTACTGTAAGTGTTGTGAGATGAGTCCGACATCACCACAAGAGTGTGTCACTATCTTGTGTACGTGCGGCCTCGTGAGTAACTAACTGCACAGCGGCGCACAGGCTAAACTCAGTAGTTGTCCTTTTGAGTCGGCGGCGTTGCAAGCAGAAGACATCAGTTCGATTCCCGACTGGGGATTTAATTCTCGTCTTTATTTCCTTAATCGAGTCTCTTTGTCTGTCTGTTGCGAAGCTGCATCCGTCTCCAATACGGTCAAAGCAGCCCATCTTACTGAATGATTCACACTGTGTCAACGGAAAAGTGAAACGTACAATTTAAAATTTCTAAAATAACACAAACGACAGACTTAATTACTGTAACAATATTTCTTTATTTGTATTACTTTCATTATAAATTATTATCTTGCATTGATAAGATATTATCCTACTACCATTGTTAGTATCGTTATTAGTATCATTATTATCATTATTACTATTATTATTATTACAACTACTATTATCATTATTATTAGTAGTACTATCATCATCACCAGTATACATAGCATCAGTATTACCGCCGTTATTACATTAACCAAATCCTCACGTTAATTTTGGAGGGCTGTGCCATGATGTGGCGCTACAATGCGCCATCAATATTTCAAGCAGGGCCGCGTCCCTTGACAGCGGACGGTCAATGTATGCATTGCGTAAGCCAGAGAGCCTGTGAGCGAGCGGGACACTCAAGGCGGTCAACACAGTTCATTATTGACGAGGGGCAGATCGCCCATATGATGACCAGCAAGCAATATGGTGATTTGGGGAGGGG